GGGAGAAGGGAAATAGCAACCATCAAGTGATGAGGAGAGGAATCGATTGATCCAGCTCGCCCTTCCTGCCCATCTTCTCCTCTGTGATAGAGCCCACACCCCGGGGCATTTGCCCCTTGACCGGGAATCAGACCCAGGGCCCCTTCAGTCCACAGGCTGATGCTCTATCCACTGAGCCACACCGGCCAGAGCTAGGAATTTTTGCAAGCAAGTATCTAAGAACGTCAGAGCGTCTACCCAAGTCAGGCTTCTATGAATGTGTATGTGGCCCTCTCCTCACAGGGGCTGGCAGGCGAGACGGGCGTAGCTGACAGGGGTCTTTGAACCTGGGGTAGCGGCCTCTGCTTCGGGGCCTGGGTCCCGTTTTCACGTCAGGCTGAGGCCCCCCGGTGAAGGCGGGACGTCTGTGTGTCTGTGGTCTCAGCGTGGGAGTCATGTCACCCTAATCACTATCTGTAAGGAAATGTCTGGTCGGGGAAAAGGGCTGTTTCCTAATCTCTGTTTTCAACCCTCGGAACGTCCTTGCGAAGGAAACCAAGCAGCGACACAGGGGTTTACCGCGGGGACAAAGGGACGGGAGCCGGTCGTGTCTGTGGGTGGGGCTGTCGATATTCATCTTCCTTCCCTCAAACTCCATCAATTCCCACTCTGCTTTGCCTTTGGAAACCAACCATCGCCCTGGCCGGTGTGGCTCAGTGGATAGAGCATCAGCCTGCAGACTGAAGGGTCCCGGGATCGATTCCCGGTCAGGGCACAGGACCAACGGGGTGTGAACTCGATCAACAGTAGGGGGCGTGCAGGAGGCAGCCAATCAAGGATTCTCTCTCATCATTGATGTTTCTATATCTCTCTCCCTCTGCCTTCCTCTCTGAAATCAAGAAGAAAAAAAATTTTTTCTTTTAAAGAAAAGAGCCCTGGCCGGTGTGGCTCAGTGGATAGAGCGTCGGCCTGCGGACTCAAGGGTCCCGGGTTCGATTCCGGTCAAGGGCATGTACCTTGGTTGTGGGCACATCCCCAGTGGGGAGTGTGCAGGAGGCAGCTGGTCGATGTTTATCTCTCATCGATGTTTCTAACTCTCTATCCCTCTCCCTTCCTCTCTGTAAAAAATCAATAAAATATATAAAAATAAAGAAAGAAACAAAAAAGAAAAAAAAAACCAAGCCCTCACGGCCAGCTCAGCTTTCCTGTGACTGCGGATCTGCCCAGATGAGCGGGTTGGTTCCTACCTGAATTGATGAACCCCGCCAGCTCCTTCTCGTTCCCCGAAAGCAGATACCCAGCCTCGCCTGGGCGCCCGGCCCTGAAGGCCTCCTCTTCGTCTCCTGACAGTGGCATCTGGATATTTTCATAAAGCGCGGCAAGCTGTGCCCTCTCCTCATCCTGTCCCAGTCGACTGGAGAGTAACACAGGTGAATTCAGGAGCGCAGCGCCCACAACATGTCCTCATGTCTTTTTTTGTTAATAAATTTGGGCTAGTTTTGTTTCCACCCCCCAAATATTCTTATCGATTTTCACTTTAGATATTATTTTAATTGATTTCAGAGAGGAAGGGAGAGGGAGAGAGAGATAGAAACATCAAGGATGAGAGAGAATCATGGATCGGCTGCCGCCTGCAGGCCCCCGCACTGGGGATGGAGCCCGCCCCTCGGGCATGTGAGGCAATCACCTTAGGTTCCAAACTCCATCATCAATATAAATAATCTCTTGCCCTCGCTGGTTTGGCTCAGTGGATAGAGCGTCGGCCTGTAGACCAAAGGGTCCCAGGTTCTATTCCAGTCCAGGGCACATGCCCAGGTTGCGGGCTCGATCCCCAGTGGGGGGTGTGCAGGAGGCAGCCGATCGATGTTTCTCTCTCATCAGTGATGTTTCTCTCTCTCCCTCTCCCCTTCCTCTCTGAAATCAATAAAAATACATTAATAATAATAATATCTTTTTGTATTTGTGGTGTTTTTTTTTAATCCTCACCTGAGGATATTTTTCCGTTGTTTTTTAGAGAGAGTGGAAGAGAGAGGGAAAGAGAGAGAGAAACATCCATGTGACAGAAACACATCGAGGGGTTGCCTCCTGCACGTGCCCCAACCAGGGCCCAGGCCAGGGAGGAGCCTGCAACCGAGGTCCATGCCCTTGACCAGGATCAAACCCGGGACCCTTCAGTCTGCAGGCCGACGCCCTATCCACTGAGCCAAACCGGTCAGGGCCCATCATTGATGTTTCTCTCTCTCTCTCTCCTTCTCCCTTCCTCTCTGAGACCAATAAAGAAATATATTAAAGAAAAAAAAAAAAAGAATTGTCATCAGCACCACCACCACCAAATAATGACCCAGGTAACGTGTGTCTGACTTAAGGCTGGCAATGCTACTAGCGAGGACTCACTATATCACGTAGGAAACAGCGATCCCGCAGACCAAGGCCACGCTCAAGGCCGCACAGGCGATGGCAACCACTCGAACAAGAGCACGTCGATGCGGACTGGACACTAAAAGGGAGAGAAGACGTTCTCATCTAAGTTCACTGTCGCTGTGCCTGTCGGTTATGTAGTAGTTAGTCATACTGTTGTCACAAAGGGGAACGGGAGAGACAGTCAGAAATACCATCAAAAAACAGCATTTTAGTCCGGCCGGCGTGGCTCAGTGGTTGAGCGTCAACCTATGAACCAGGAAGTCACAGTTCGATTCCCAGTCAGGGCACAGGCCCGGGTTGCAGGCTCGATCCCCAGTGTGGGGCGTGCAGGAGGCAGCTGATCAATGATTCTCTCATCATTGATGTTTCCCTCTCCTTCTCCCTTCCTCTCTGAAATCAATAGAAATATATATATATATATATTTTTTTTTAATATATTTTATTGGTCTTTTACAGAGAGGAAGGGAGAGGGATAGAGAGTCAGAAACATCGATCAGCTGCCTCCTGCACACTCCCCACTGGGGAAGTGCCCGCAACCAAGGTACATGCCCTTGACCGGAATCGAACTTGGGACCCTTCAGTCCGCAGGCCGACGCTCTATCCACTGAGCCAAACCGGCCAGGGCAGAAATATATATATTTTTTAAAATAGCATTTTAAAATACGAAGGCATATCACATGATCTCACTTATCTGTGGAATCTAATAAACAACATGAATTGACCAATAGGGTAAGACCGGAAGCAGGTAGGCATGGAACAGACTAACATACCTTGATGTGAGGGTGGATGGATGAGAAGAGATAAACCAAAGAACATATATGCTTATATGCACAGCCCATGGACACGGGCAATAGGATGATTAAGCCCTGGAGGTGGGTAAGGGCTGGGAGGAGGGGGGAATGGGAGGCATCTGTAATACCATCAACAATAAAAAACTATTTATAGCCCTAACCGGTTTGACTCAGTGGATAGAGCGTCAGCCTTCGGACTGAAGGGTCCCAGGTTCGATTACGGTCAAGGGCATGTACCTTGGTTGCGAGCACATCCCCAGTGGGGGGTGTACAGGAGGCAGCTGGTCGATGTCTCTCTCTCATCGATGTTTCTAACTCTCTATCCCTCTCCCTTCCTCTCTGTAGAAAAATCAATGAAATATATTAAAAAAAATAAATAAATAAATAAATAAAAAACTATTTATAAAATGAAATAAATAAAATAAATAAAATTAAATTAAAAATAAAATGAAAAATTGCCCTAACCGGTTTGGCTCAGTGGATAGAGCATCAGCCTGCGGACTGAAGGGTCCCAGGTTCGATTCCGGACAAGGGCATTTACCGTGGTTTCGGGCACATCCCCAGTGGGGGGTGTGCAGGAGGCAGCTGATCGATGTCTCTTTCTCATCGATGTTTCTAACTCTCTATCCCTCTCCCCTTCTCTCTGAAAATAAATAACTAAATAAATAACTAAATAAAATATAGAATTTAAATTTTAGTTTAAATAATTAAAATAAGGGCGGCGGAGATTGCCTAGCCTGTGTTGACAAGATATAGGTCTGAATTCCCAGGTCACTGCGGGCTCCCCTCCCACCTGCCCCCCTTGCTCTGTGGGGATGTGCGTCCCTGAGCCACACTGACCAGGCTGCTTTGCCAGGGCAGCAGCACCTGCCACCCACGTAGCCCGAACCCCAGGACAGCGGCCTTGCTTAACAGCTCAGGGCTGCCCTGATGGGCCCAGGGGGGCTCGTGCTGGGAGGAAAGGCCACCACAGGGCAGCCGGGGGCCGTGCCACCCACCTGCGTCCCAGGTGCTGGTGCTGGGGGCCACGTCCTGGACCGGCTCAGGTATATCACCCTTCCTATCACCTGGAAACAAAAAGCAACACACACACGCACACACACACAGAGAGAGAAGCATTGTTTGTACAGACTGAACAAAGGTGAAAGAGGCGAGCCCTGGCCGGTGTGGCTCAGTGGATCGAGCGCCGGCCCAAGGACTGAAGGGTCCCGGGTTCGATTCCAGTCGAGGACACATGCCCAGGTTGCAGGCTCAATGCGGGAGGCAACCAATAGATGTGTCTGACTCACATCGATGTTTCTCTCTGTCTCCCCCTCTCCCCTCCACTCGAGTTAAAATGGAAAAATAGCCCGGCTGGTTGAGCATGGACCTATGAACCAGGAGGTCGCGGTTCAATTCTGGGTCAGGGCACACGCCCAGGTTGCGGGCTCGATCCCCAGTAGGGCAAGTGCAGGAGGCAGCCGATCCATGATTCTCTCTCATCACGGATGCTTCTCTCTCTCTCTCTCTCTCTCCCTCTCCCTTCTTCTCTGAAATCAATAAAAAAAATATATATTTTTTGCCGAAACCCGTTTGGCTCAGTGGATAGAGCGTCGGCCTGTGGACTGAAAGGTCCCGGGTTCGATTCCGGTCAAGGGCATGGACCTGGGTTGCGGGCACATCCCCAGTAGGAGGTGTGCAGGAGGCAGCTGATCGATGTTTCTCTCTCATCGATGTTTCTAACTCTCTATCTCTTTCCCTTCCTCTCTGTAAAAAATCAATTAAAATATATTTAAAAAAAAATATATATATATATATTTTTAAAAGGCTTGTCATTTTTCCAACTAGGTCTGAACTCACCTGCATCAGGCACGCACACACACAATGGCCATGCCATTAAAAACAAAACTAGGAAGGCGAAGGAACGCCGAGGCTGGGCCATCACTCCAGCACCGCCGTCTCTTATCCTGCGGGTGAAAGGAGCCGTCCGGCTGGAGCCCAGCGTCTGCCCTGAAACACGGCTCCCTGCCCAGCATCTGGTTCTGCCTCGGGGCCACCAGTGTGAGGTCAGCCCAGGTTGCCATGCGGAGTCCCTCCACGGAACCGTGCCAGCCAATGGGAGGCTGAGAGGAGAGGGGTCGAGGGGCAGGAATGAGGACAGGACAGACCACAGAGGAGGCAGAGCGAGGCCCTGCCCCTGCCTCCTGGGATTCCTCTTCCATCTGGTTTTGGTCCCAGGCCTGGCCCCTCCTCTGTCTCCCCAACTTTCCCCAGGTTCTCCCACCTGGGCCCACCCCACACCCCGCCCTTTGCTGCCTCCTTAGCTGCGTGTTCACAAGGCAGGCCTGGGCCCATCTGAAATCAATAGAAATACATTTTAAAAATAAAATACAATTGCCCTGGCCGGTTGGGCTCAGTGGATAGATCGTCGGCCTGCGGACTGAGGGGTCCCGGGTTCAATTCCGGTCAAGGGCATGTACCTTGGTTGCGGGCACATCCCCAGTAGGGGGCGTGCAGGAGGCAGCTGGTCGGTGTTTCTCTCTCATCGATGTTTCTAGCTCTCTATCCCTCTCCCTTGCTCTCTGTGAAAAATCAATAAAATATATATTTAAAAAATAAATAAATAAATAATAAAATAAAATAAAATACAATTGCCCTGACCAGTTGGGCTCAGTGGATAGATCGTCGGCCTGCGGACTGAAGGGTCCCGGGTTCGATTCCGGTCAAGGGCATGTACCTTGGTTGCAGGCACATCCCCAGTGGGGAGTGTGCAGGAGGCAGCTGGTCGATGTTTCTCTCTCATCGATGTTTCGAACTCTCTATCCCTCTCCCTTCCTCTCTGTAAAAAATCAATAAAATATATTATATATATTTTTAAAAAGACTGTGAGAAAATGAATTTCAGTTGTTTAAGCCGTCCAGTCTATAATATTAAAAGATAAATAAAATAAAATGAAATGAAAAACACTAGAGCAATGGAAACGCTGGTGGTTTCGTTGCTGCTTCTGGCTATGGACGGCGGTAAACATCGTGTCACCACCCGACCCCTCCCCGGTCTGACTGTGGAGTCTCGCCACCCCTGCTCCTGCCTCTCGTGGCAAATCCATTCAGCTGCTTGCATTCCCTCCTGCAGCCCTCGCTGGGCGACCGGGATGCCGTGAGCCCTGAACGGTGGGGACCAGGTAGCAGGTGCCTGTGGCAGCTGGTGACCGGACTCAGGGGGGAGCATCCTCCGCCTCCAGGACAGTTTCTCACGCTGGGGAGTCAGCACCAGATGGACCTTCTGCCCCGGGATTTCTGACCAAGACCCTGGAAGCCTCTCCAGGAAGGACTGCTGGCCCCTCATGGCCGCCCGACAGGCAGTCTCTAGGGAGATGGGGAAATGCTTGCCAACTGGAGAGAAGGCAGCCAATTCGCCCTATTCTGCTCGCCCCCGACCCCCTGGGAGCACTCAGAGAGGCTTCCTCGCTCTACGGGGCCTGTGAGCTCCCTTCCCATCCGAACCCTCTCTGCCCTGAGGCGATCTTTCCACCTGGAGAAGATGAGAGAGTATAAACCTGAGTTCGAGGGAGACGGCGAGGAAGGCTGCGCCCACGGGCAGCGCTGGGTCTTGCCCTCGCAGTGAGGACATGCGAGACCCGTGGACGAGCATCCCTCCGACTCGTCTGCACCTCCAGTGAGTCTCCCGGCTCCTGGTCCGCGCTCAGCCTCAGGGCTGTGGGTGGTGAGTTTACGAAGTCCCGGCTCCAGGAAATACCGTGAGTCTGACTGTCCAATCAGACTTCCTACTCCGGAGGGAGCTAAGCCCTCGTGTTACCAGAAATCCTTCCGGACAGAGAGCCAGGTAACTTCAGTTCTCATTACTTAGGAGTTTCTTGATTTTTATTAGCAAATATCTACCATAGAAACACTGAACAATAACAACACCACCAGGGGGGTCACTGGGAGAGTCAGTGCAACTGTGGTTACACACGGGGCTCTGAAGCCACCATCTCGGTGCCACTCTGACTAGCCGTGTCCTGAGGTCGGTTTCTCAACATCTCGGCCTCCGTCCCTCCACCTGTAAACCTGGGCTGATAACAGCACCCGCCTCATGGAACTAAGGGGACTGAACACATTAATAATTGGAAAGCAGCTAAAACAAAGCTTAGCACGTGGTAAGTGCTGTACGTGTTTATAAAACGTGAAGTTTTTTAAAATTAACTGGGTTAATTTATCCATGGGTCTTTCTAGTCCTTATCCATACACACTTT